TAATTCCACTTTAGTTTATTCTGAGTTCCAGTATTTATTTTTTAACAGGTGATGTATCCTGATGGAATGTAAATACATCACTTAATTGAAGTAGATAAACCGTGAGGGTGACCTTTCCATGGAGATGTGCCGTCAGTTCTATGCTGGGTCTCACTGAGTTTGCCACCCTCTCCTTATGTAAAGCTTGAGCCCTGTCTGTAGTCAACCAAGCTGCAAGTAGTAGAGATCTGTGTAATCCCTTTATCTGATTTAGTAATACAACTCATACCTGGGAGGTTGGCTGTCTACCACTGAGAGCATAGGTTTTTGGATGTAATTGCTAGAGAAGACACCTGCAGCTAAACATACCCAAATGTCTTCATTAACAGACATGGATACCCTCTTAACTGAAGCAATAATTGTGGAATCCATGCTCAAGGCATAATAAGATTTATGTACATCTGCTGGCTCTTCACGAACAGACAAACAAGATTTTTTAAAATGACAGTGACTGTTGCAGAACTTGATGTGCACAAGAGAAATGTGCATCCTGCCCATCCACAGGCAGTGAATGTCTGCTTTAATGCTTTCTGTGCATAGGAATAGGCCCTGAGGGTTCAAAAGTAAGCTAGTCTGGTCATGTGGAACATACATACGTACCTCTCAAGCATAAATTGCTTCAGCTACAAGTAATGGCAACTAAACCATCCGCCAGTGGTGATGTTCTAACACTTTCTGGTATGTTTAATTGAGCAAAGGAAGAAAGCAGTGGAAAAACTAGTTGATAACAGGAATGGGAACCAAAATCATGTATCTGAGGCAATCTCTTGCCAGAAGATTGCATGGTAAGGGTGTACTCTGGGGTAGGCTTTATATTATTAAGCCTTAATTGTTTGTGATTGAAAGGCTAGTGTTACTGAAGTGTGATTAGAGACCTCTGATTTTCCTAACTGTAAGTAGTTCATGTAAGGGTAAATAAACACTGCCAGCTTTTAATGTTAAATTAATTAAAAGTATTGTGACCCTTCTGGACAAGTCACCATTGGTATACAGCAGCTAGGTCTTGATGAGCTACCAAGTAAATGTTGAGATCCAGGTGTATACTCCCTTCCAGTAATGTGAACTGGAGGATGGGGAAAATTTGTAAGCAGTTTTACAGACTATACTTTCCTCTGAAAAACTGCGGAATGTACAGCTGAGGTTATTTTGTTTATTTATTTTAAGGCAAGCTGATTTTCCCACCTCCCCCTTCTCACACACAATGATAACTGAAGTAAGGATTATTTGTCCAAGACTGTCCTGGGGACCTGGCTTCAGTTACAGCCTATTTTAAAACAAAGCAAGAACATTTATCCATATACTATTGTTAGCTTCTTCATCTAGTGCTCTTCTCTGCACACTGAAAGAATGATGTCCTGTGCCACCGACTTGCATTACTGATGTATGTTATATGCACTGATTTAATCTCACTAAAAGCATTTTCTACCGTTACGCAGCAGACAATTTCAGGATCTTGTGTTACAGACAGCTGGAGACTAAATCGGTATGCTTTCAGCTTTAGCAATTTTTTTAAAGTGAATTAGTCACTTGCAGGATTGAACATGGAAGAGGAGATTAATTCCAATGTAGTTTTATAGGAGGAGTGTATATAAAATATACTTGAAGTCTGTTATGTCTAGGAGAGGTGATTTTCATCTCCCTAGATTTGACTGCGGATGCTAAGATTTCTTGAAAAATTAGAAGTGATACATAGCTGTTGCCTAAAACATATTGTAACACTTAATTGCTGAATTCAAATAGACTAGTTATATTTTGTAATACAAAACTACAGAGCGCAATAGCACCTTGTCTTGCCATGGACAAGAAGTTGCTTCTACTAAATTGCTGCTGTCTAGCTTTTCAAATGTGAAGGAGGTGAGGGGGGATTGCAGAAGAGTGACTTTGCCCTCTTATGAGGTATGCAAAATAGTAACTCAGCACTTGGATGTGGGTCAAGGATAAATTGATATAGAAAATATGTCCTTTGACAGAAGTCATGGTCTGTCTCAGAGTTGAATCTCAATTGGTACATTCTGCTGTAGTTGCTCTGTAGAGATGCTCAGTCTTCAGGAATATCCGATACCCTCTCTGCCCAAATTACAAGCCATGTTTTGGGGGGCCAGTATGGCATGCCATCCAAGTAAGTTGTATATTGCATGGACAGGACAGAAATACAACTCTTCCATTTGCTAGTCATAACCAAGAGCTGTAAAGTTCCAGCAGTACTGTCTAGGATGTTGAATTTATTACAAATGCTGCTTGAAACCATCCCTTGACATCAGAGGTAACTCCAGTTGAATTAATTTCACCTACCAAAATGTATAAATTCTCCCTTCCTCACATCTCATTTGAGAAGAAATTTTCCATCCTTGGGATCAGTGCAGCAGAAGTACAGGTAATTACACAAATAACATGTAACTAACTCATTAAATGTATATTTTTTTTAAATTCTATGTAGAAATTTGGTTGGAACTTAATAGTGCTATTAGCATGTAGAAAAAAAAACCCTGCAGACTGTCAAAATGCATGTTGCACACTGACTGTGGCATGTTGAGTTTGGACAGACTTTTTCAAGATTTTTGCTACTGTGAGTGTTATTAGTTCATATCCTTATGTGTGGAGGTGGGAGGCATATTGAGTTGTACGAGACCTTTGGGCATTTTCTGCTTTTATGGCTTTGCAGCTTCATAATGGAATTTGTTGCCACAAAGTGTGCACACAGAATAGCTGAAACCCCCAATAGTTGGGAAACTCAAATAACTTGCAGCAATGACTAGAAACCTTATAAGTTTATAAGGTTTCTAGTCATTGCTGCAGATCATTCACAGATGCGAAAGTCAGTTCATACTTTAATGGTCTATCCGTGAAGCTATTCTAGTTACACAAGCTAATCTATGCTGCTTCTTTCTTGAAGTTTTTGTTAGAAATAACAAATATGCTTTGGTTGCATATTGATGCAGAATGGAAAAGAGACCTGATGGGGAGGAAAATTCAAACTGTTTTCTGTTCTAGTCTTGGCCTTGCTTGTACTGAAGTCCTGTTAAAATCAAGGACCTCCCCTGCCCCCAGTGCAAAATTGGATCTTATGATCCTCTGACTTAGTGGAACATAAGCTCTTAAGTAATTTTGACAATTTTGAAGATTCTACCTACTGAGAATTTTTTTATACTTTGAAGTTAGGAATAAAAAATATTTGAAACTTTTTATAAGTTGAAAAACTGTTGCTAAGAATTACAGTAATTTTTTCTATCAAAAGCAAGAGCTCCCCAGTTTGTGGTATAATGGAGAGTTGTACAGCTGCATGTATTTTAAGGGCTTGAACAACTTGTGGTAATAAGATTTGAAACCTTGAAATCAGAGGCTTAACCTTCCAATTACGTAGACTTTACACAGTAAAATCAAAATAAGTTTTATCTTGTACAGATTTTTGCAAGCTTTATTTTTTTTTTAAATAGCCATCAAATCATATGGTACACTAATAAAAATATTTGTAGAATCATAGAATAGCAGGTTGGAAGGGACTTCAAGGATCATCTGGTCTAACCTTCTTTGCAAAAGCACGGTCTAGACAAGATGGCCCAGAGCCCTGTCCAGCTGAATCTCTAAAGTGTCCAATATTGGGGAATCCACGTCTTCCCTGGGGAGATTATTCCAGTGGCTGATTGTTTTCATTGTGGAAATTCTTCCTGTATGTCCAATCCGAATATCCACTGGAGTAACTTGTACCCATTACCCCTTGTCTTCTCCCTGCGACTCCTTGTAGAAAGGGAGTCTCCCTCTTCTTTGTAGCCACCCTTGAAATACTGGAACATGGTGATAAGGTCTCCCCTAAGCCACCTTTTCTCAAGGCTGAACAAACCCAGTTCTCTCAGCCTTTCATCACATGGCAGGCATCCAGTCCTTTGATCATCTTTGTGGCCCTTCTCTGGACCCTCTCCAGCCTGTCCACAGCTTTTTTGCATAGTGGGGACCAAAACTGAAACATGGTATTCCAGGTGTGGCCTGACCAGCACTGAGTGGGATATCGACTTCTTTATCTTTGCTGGTGATGCCCTTGCTGGTGCAGCCCAGCATCCTGTTGCCTTTTTTGCTGCAGCAGCTCACTGTTCACTCATATTGGCCTTGTCCACCAGGACCCCCAGGTCCCTTTCCACAGAGCTGCTCCCCAGCCAGGTAGATCCCAGCCTGTGCTGCACTCCTGGATTATGCTTTCCCAGGTGCAAGACCTTACACTTGTCCTTGTTGAACTTCATAAGGTTCTTGTTAGTCCACTCTTCCAGCCTATCCAGGTCTTCCTGAAGGGTAGCCGTCCTTTCCAAAGTGTCCACTTCCCCATTCCATTTAGTATCATCAGCAAACATCGTCAGGGTATACTTGATACCATCATCCAGATCACTTATGAAGATATTAAACAGGATTAGGCACAACATTGATCCCTGGGGGACCCCACTTGTGACGGATTGCCAGCGTGAAAAGGAGCTATTGACCACCACCCTCTGGGTGCGAACCCTCAGCCAGTTCCCACCCACTGCAGGGACCACTTGTCCAGACCGTAACATGTCCATGTCTGTAGGAGGAGGCTGTGGGAAACCACATCAAAAGCCTTGGAGAAATCCAGGTAGACAGTGTCCACCACTTGCCCCACATCAACTGGGCAGGTTACTTCGTCGCAGAAGGTGATCAGGTTTGTCAGGCACGATTTGCCCTTGGTGAATCCGTGCTGGCTCTTCCCAATCACGTGCTTCATTTGACTTGTGATAGCCCCCAGGAGGATTTGTTCCATAACTTTCCCAGGGACTGAAGTAAGACTGATGGGCATCTAATTTCCTGGATCCTCCTTTAAGCACTTCTTGTAGATGGGGGTGATGTTAGCCTTCTTCCAGTTTTCTGGGACATCGCCCAATCTCCATGACCTGTCAAAGATTATGGAAAGTGGCGTTGCAACATCAGCCAGCAACTGATTAACATCCTCAGAGTGGATCATGTCGGGGCCCATCGATTTGTAGGGGTCAAACTTCTGTAATAGTTCACATACCAACTATTTCTTTACTGACAGTGGGTCTGTGTTTTCATCATCCTGTTTTTTTGTTCCCAGGGCCTGGGATTAATGCCAAGTATGTGGAAACAGTTCTAAAAAAGGCCCACTACTAGCTTCTTATGGAGTAATGAGTGTTTAACTTAAGTCATGAAAGTTACTCTGGAGAATTTCTATGTTAAAAAGATGGACAATCAAATGTACAACTCTAACAAAGTTATTTGCATTCTATGGGAGTATAGTAGTATTTCATACACTCTTTTTTTCCCTAACATTAAAGGAGGGGAGAGGAGAAAAAAACAGTGCAATCTTAGAGATTCCTGTGAGTTAAATAGCATCTGAAATGCTGATGTCACTACTTGGAAGTTGTTCCTCTGGTTATTTCTGTTCCAGTCAGCAATGTCCAAATGCTGAGAGATGCTACCTGTAGTTCAATTCTGCTCATTCAGTAACAGTAGTTCATTCCCTCATTTGAGACTTAAAAGATGCTTATCTGCTCATTTAAAAACGTTTACTTAGATGTGATGCACACTTGCAAGATAGCTTCTACCCATTGAAAACAAAATTTCAGTGTGTTGTTATGAATTCTTCTGTCATGTAGCCCACTGTAGAAGTAACAAGAACTACAAAACTCAAATGACTCCTAAACAGTATTATCTACACCACCAGAATTACTGGTTTTTTCCCCCTACTTATAGACTTTTTCTAATGCATATTTGAAAACTCATCTCCTTGGGGCAGATCTCAGTATTCCTGTTATTACAGGTATTTCAGCACGTCATCTGCCACAAATAAACAGGCAGCCATGGCTCCACAGCGTGAGGGGCTTTTTTTGGACAAAATTCCCTACATTTTGTCTTATCCTGCAAAGGCATTTTGTTTCCAATTTCTATTTTTATGGTTAACTGCTTCTACCTCTACTCGTACAGCTATGACCTTGTTACAGTAGACATCCTGCATCAAAGAGGAATTTACTGTAATATGCTGTGACCTGCATTTCTTGCCTCATGCCGGCGTGCTACGAGAAACTTCTTGAATACCAACAGAACAAGGATTTGCATTTCAGTACATACTGCCCACGGGGCTAACCAAGGTCCCTTTTATGGTTCAGATAGAAAACTGAAATATCCCTTTATAGAGCACTGGTTTCAGACTGAAAGGGGCTTGATCTAAAACTGTTCAAAGATTTATGACTAAGTGCCAATTTTTAGAGATATTGAGCTTCCAGTGACTTGAGAATGTCAAGGACGAAGTAAATGACTGCTTCTGAACACTTGTACTTTCAACCAAGCGTGTGTGCTTTTGATTACTTTGTCATGGCCACAATTCAGTACTCATATATAAAAATTGATGGGGAAGTACTAAGGGTACACAGGGACATCAGTCATTCAATATCCTTGTAGGGAGAAGGAAGGTGGTAAAGAGCAAGAGGTTAATTTAGGAATTCTGACTCACCATCCTGAGGAGCTCCTCTTTCTCTCCACTGATCACAGACAAAACCTCAGTGCACTGCATAAGCAAACTGAGCCTACAGTTGAGTGAGATGATTTTTCCTCCATAAACATGTCTGTGGATGATTTTAATAACTATCAGAAAATTTTGTAATTCCCAATCTTTGAGCACAGAGAAATGGGAGGGGAACTTCTTGCCTTACCTTGTGTTCAGGAAGTAGACTGCATTTGACTGTATAAAGCATTTACCTGAGCTATTGTAAGTGTAGAATAGTACCTCTATAGTTCTGTAATTATTTTCTAATTCCTGCTAAGATCTAGCTTAGTTCCACATTCTTCAATGTATTTTCAGCATGTTAAGCCCTGAAAAAAGGCATGAAGAACTTCCTATCAACTTCATTTAAAAAAAGCAAACAACCAAGCAAATCTGAAGTCTTTTAGAAACCCTCTAGTCCACGTTTGCTAGTCCAATTTCTTTTTCAAGCCATGAAAACAAAATTCTATAGCAATGACTTATACAATAAAAAAACCCCACAAAGCTATACAAAACTGTGAAAGCAGTATGCCTTGCATGCCCACTTCTCTTTGATGAAGGTTTAAAGATAACACTAGCAAAAAATGTACATATTAAAAAAAAAAAAAAAAAGTTTCATTTTGAAGAGAGCCATGACAAGAATGTGGCACGTTTTCCTTCAGAGTGGGAAATCCTTCCTGTTAATCAAGAAAGCTTTCTAAATTCATCACCTGTAAAAAGGGATCCTCTAATACTTGCAGGATAAAGTAACTTTCTTGGAGATCTTAAAGCATATCCTACTGAGAGATACTTGGGTAATAACATGCTGGTTTTGCTGTTGAATGCTTTGAGACAGAGTCTATGTGTTGCTATAGATGTTGATATTCTTAGTTGCTTTCCTAAAATCTCCATTGCTGGTGCTTGAGTTGTGCTATTGTTACTTTGTCTTCCTTCAATGCTTATCCTTTTTTCAAAGATCAGATGTTTGTGGTATCCTTTGAAGGTTTCTGCTGGATATAATGGTTATTCTCTCTTTGGCAGTGAAATCTGCATGTTTAACCTTTTCACAGCTATATAAATGCATATTATGACAAATATGAATGTACTTGAAATTAAAAGCTGTGTGTATGCATAACAAAATACTTGTGCTTCATATTAGATAAAATGTACACAAATTTAGACACAGCTATTTGTATAACCTCACAGAGTGCTGTGAAACAACAAAAGGGTGTAAGAGGCTGTGTATATGAGCTTGATGTCTGAATCGTAACAGATTTCAGGTGACTGATACATGCTTGATGGGCAACTTGGTTTTGATCATCAAATTTCACGGACCATTGAAACAGAAATCCTTATATCCTAATGAAGACAGAATTGCCTTGACTTCTTTAAATTATAAAAGTGTCTGGATAGGGTGATGCTGAGAGCTGAATGTAACAGAAAATAATTTCTGTTATAACATGTTAATATGTGTGTAGTGGGGTTGAGGTGGACAGAAAAGGAAGAGAGTGCACAAATAATTGAAATGAAGACTGTGATATTTTTATGATAGCAGCAAGATCAGAAAGGACACTCAAAATAACCCAATGTCTCCCAGATGGGACTCCTTCAGCAATGTAATGCTTTGCTTTCCTGGTTGTTCTTTGGAATGCAAAGACTTCCAGGAAATCTTGAAAGAAGCTGGAATTATCCTAGTAGTTTTTTTCACATTAAAGGTGTATATCTATGCTTTCAGCTGTTGAAGGCTTTCTTTGACTTCAGTCTCGTCTCTGAAATCCCTGTGTTTCTACTGGATTTTGTTATTGCTGATTATATCATTTTTATATGGCAACGTTTTAAAAACAAAACCAAACCGAACAACACAACAAAAAAGCCCCCCACAATTGTCAACAGAAAAAAATAAATATCCGTGGAGCATGATCTCTTACTTAATGCAGTAATGTTTAGAAAGAAGTATTAGCTTAGTGTCTTTTTTTTTTTTTTCTTGTCCTACTTCTTGGCCATTATACATCATGGGTCAGATGCCAGCACCCTCCTTTGAGTAGTTTTGAAGTCAGTGATACTGTTTGAGTGAGTACTTAGTGAGTAATGGGGTGTCACCCCAAAAGCTTATTGGTGTTAGATTCATAATATGAGCTAGCTAACTTTGAGTTAACTTACTAGCAAAGGAAACATTTATCAAGAGGACTTCAGTCCAATTTGCAATGTTTATGAATAATTTGATTGATTTCCTTTATTTTTCTTACAGGAATTGTTTCAATTATGACTCTCACTGTTCTTGCCTATGAACGCTACATTCGAGTAGTCCATGCAAAAGTGATTGACTTCTCTTGGTCTTGGCGGGCTATCACATACATCTGGCTCTACTCATTAGCCTGGACTGGAGCACCTCTTTTGGGCTGGAACAGATACACACTGGAAGTTCATGGATTAGGTTGCTCAGTGGACTGGAAGTCAAAAGACCCCAATGATACCTCCTTTGTGCTCCTTTTTTTCCTTGGCTGTCTAGTAGCACCTCTTGGGATCATGGCCTATTGCTATGGCCATATTCTATACGCAGTAAGAATGGTAAGTTAATTCAAATAAGGCTTCTCTTAATGTAATAAAATGTTGATGCTGTGTGTTAAGCTTGGATCAGAGCCTAAATTTGTACTCTCACTTCCTATTTAAGCTTTTGAATGTTTAATGTTTGTCCATGTCAAGCATCACTAGAAAGGATGTAGGATTGGAAGAGAACCAAGCTAGAGCTATCAAGCTCTATTTGTTGTGTGGTTTTACTGGGAGGCAGGTTAGGGAGCCAGTCATGCTCACTAATCCACATCAGATCTTCCCTTGAAAAAGGGGGAAAAAGAAAACTCTGTTTGCAGTTCCCCTGATTAAAAAAACTTCTCTCTCCTCCTCACCATGCCACTCTTGAGAATATAACCCTGCAAAACTCTTCCAAGTGGAGATTAAGCCCTGTTAAAACAATTTTCCATGTTAAGGCAACTCATTTTAATGCAGTCCAGATCTTTAGTGTCAGAAAGTGTTAATGTTTCATATGTTGTGGGTAATTAGTCTGGACCCATTCAAGTTTGCGGCCAACAGTATTGGCACAACTGGAGAATGCTCACATACACGTCCCATCTTTTTCTCATTTTATGACTCACTCCGGTAACACTGGGAACATGCTGCCTAGTATTCTGCTTTGAATAGAGATTTTGTAATTTTAGGGTAACAAACTTAAGTGGCAGAGCAGTACAGAGAAATGTATTTATGAAATTTTCTTCTTTCTAAAGATTGCCGATGATGCAAATCTACGGGATTGTCTGACTACTCAGACAAAGGACCATGAAATGTAAATTGAACTTGCTTATGCCAGTGGATGAGGGCAAGTTAGTTTTCTAAAATACTTATAATGCTAAGTGCAGCATGTTTTGTTACATCATTGGATTTGTTGGTTTCCAGTAGATTTGCTATTCTATTTTTTCCTCAGACTGTATTTTTACACTTAAAAATCTAAGAAGCATGATGTAAACTTCTAGAAGAATTGTAGTTCACAAGATAAGGTGTATAGTGTCTGTGCCTAAAACTAAATTAGCGAATTAGTTATAAATAAATGCAGAATTAATTCAGTTTCAAGTAAAATATAGAGCTATTTTACTTGAACATTTTATCTTTTTTGTCTACAGCTTCGCTGTGTGGAAGATTTCCAGACTATTCAAGTGATCAAACTTCTAAAATATGAAAAGAAGTTGGCTAAAATGTGTTTCTTAATGATCTCCACATTCCTTATTTGTTGGATGCCCTATGCAGTGGTGTCCTTCCTGGTAACATATGGCTATAGCAACCTTGTAACTCCAACAGTAGCTATCATCCCATCTTTCTTTGCCAAGTCAAGCACTGCTTATAATCCAGTCATCTATATCTTCATGAGTAGAAAGGTAGGTACATTGAAGATTTTCTTATTTGAATAATTAGTAGCCAATACTGCAGTTGTGGAGTTTAGATCTGATTTACTTTAATCTGTAAAGCTTAGGTTTTGTTTTTTTTAAAAAAAATTTGAACAGCTAGGATAAATGGTAAAGATCTAGTAGAATTAAAAATCCCTGATGCTGCTTAAAGTACTACCTTATCAGAAATTGGATTTTAATTGTCTGAACTCACATGTGATCACTCCCATGAAAGGGAGGGGAAGGAGTGTCAAAATTTAAGTGTCTAGTTTTGACAGTTTCCCCATGAAATGGATTGCAACTAGAAAACCTCATCTGAATCACTCTCTTATCACAACAGAACTCCATCAGAGAAAATTCAGAATATCCAGTGTCTGTTTTTTAGGAAGAAAAAACTTGTCTCTGACTCTTCCATTACGGCAACACAAGGATTGAACAACTCAGTGTAGTATTTCAAGTATTACACCAGTAACATTTCTCAGAGCTTCATTGTATCCAAAGCCAGAATCTCATGTGGATGATAGTGAAATGTTTTTTGGAGACAAATTACACTGTTAAGAAGACATACTTGTCTATGAGAAACAAATTTTTATTTCTGTCTGCTTTTGTAGTCTTTGTTAAGAAAAGTAGACTGCTGATTTAATGGTGCTAACTAACTCCTATCAGTGCTTTACAGAGCAAAGAGAGCATGGAGGTATTGGGAGTTATCAGTGGCATGTCAAACACGTGGGAACTAGAAAACTATATATATTTCTGTAAATCATCAGCACTGTGAAGATAACCACTGAATGCAGTTAAGCGGTGTTGGTGAATTTATTTAGACATTAAAATAGCTTCACTATAACCCAGAACACTAACTGGAAGTGTAACATGCATATTGTAAACTTCTGAAACCAAGATTGTATAGAGTTAAAAATATCTGAAGTTTAATAGAATCACTTGACAACAGGTAAAAAACCATGAATGATTGCTAGAAGGATTTCCCTGAGTTTTCATTACCGTTTAGCTCGTTATAGAGATGGAATTTTCTGTGACTTCCTACACTGGTTTGCAATTGCCAGGTAACAGCATTGGGTCAGCCAGCAGTCTGTAGGGACAAGGCAGCCAAGTCAGTGGGTATGATCAGCCAGGCAAAGGCTGCAGTGCAGCTTAGGCCAGGACTGAGGGCAGGGGTGAGCTTAAATACTGTTCCTGAGTGAAGGCAGGAGGCTCCCAGTGTGGCATCTTGTATCTTCCCTCACGGCTCATTTCACAGCAGACTGATCCAAGGTTACACAGCTGCACAATATCAGAGCTGGCCTGGTTATGGGGAGCTAACAACAATCACATTCAAGAAGAGTATTTTTCAACAGAGTGGTTTCTTTTTTTAATACAGTGGTACTGACTCTGTACCTAGATGTCAGGCTGAGTAGTTTATCTGAAAAAGATTTTGTAGGTTCTGATACCCAGAAGCAAATCAAACTGGTACCAGGCACAATGTCAGTAAAATCATAGCCGTGATAAGAACGAATCAGCTGAACATGCTTGTTGCAGCCCAGAAAGCCAGCCATGTCCTGGACTGCATCCAAAGCAGCATGACCAGCAGGTCGAGGGAGGGGATTCTGCCCCTCTACTCTGCTCTCATAAGACCCCCTGCACCCCTCAGTACTGCCTTCATCTCTGGGGTCCTCAGCACAAGAGGGACATGGACCTGTTGGAGCAAGTCCAGAGGAGGTCACGAAGATGATCCGAGGGCTGGAGCACCTCTGCTGTGAGGACAGGCTGAGAGAGTTGGGGTTGTTCAGCCTGGAGAAGAGAAGGCTCTGGGGAGACCTTAGAGCAGCCTTCTAGTACCTGAAGGGGCTGACAAGAAAGCTGGGGAGGGACTTTTTACAAGAGCTTGTAGTGATAGGATAAGGGCAATGGCTTTAAACTGGAAGGGTGAAGATTTAGATTAGATATAGGGAAGAAATTCTTCCTGGTGAGGGTGGTGAGGCACTGGCACAGGTTGCCCAGAGAAGCTGTGGCTGCCCCATCCCTGGAAGTGTTCAAGGCCAGGTTGGATGGGGCTGTGAGCAACTTGGTCTGGTGGAAGGTGTCCCTGCCCATGGCAGGGGGGTTGGAACTGGATGGGCTTTAAGGTCCCTTCCAACCAAACCATTCTGTGATTCTATTGTGAAGTACTTCTCACTCGCCTCTAATTCCAGATTAAGACCAAAATGATAATATTTATTATTTGGGTTATTTTGCCTTCAGAAGGAATCCTAAAACCAGTTCTTCTCTATAATATCCTTCCTCTATCTGACGTGTTCTAACATGCTTGTGCCTTCTCATTTCTGTGCTACTCACAGGTACCACATTATCTCTAAAATCTTCACGGCCTCCATATGAGCATTCTCTTGCACTAGATTATCTTTCTCTACCATTTTATGACTTTGTAGGTTACAAGGAGGACCTATTGCCTCCCCTGTATCAGAATAGAATTAATTTCCTATAACAAAACCTTGTTCCAAACTGATGCGTCAGAGAGCTTCTTGCATAATAGCTGGAAAAATAAAGTTGCTGGCCATGCAGGATAAAACAAGAATAATCCTTGATACAGCTAAATGGAAGGCTGTTGAGAAAAACATCCTACTCCCTTTTCGGAGAAAAGGTGGGTTGTTTCCCCACCACCATCCTGTTTGTTGTGGGAATTTTTTGGTTTTTTTTGTTGTGGTGGGTTTTTTTTGAGTCCTCTTCATACATTCCAGGCATGTCTTGTTATGGGTTATTAAAAGAAGAGGAAATCACCCACTTATTCCTTGTAAAACCAGAGAATTTCCCCAAAGGATCATATTTGAGCTTTAGATCTGTGCAGACATGGAACTACTGAATGAGTGCATCCTTTAACCTCCATACCCGAATGCTTTGGTTTGTGAAAGAGAGACCGTAATTGCAGCATTTAAAACGGCACTACTACTGGAATTATTCTATATACTGATGCAAGCTTTCACTGAATACCTTGCATTATTTAGTTACAGGGTGGAACAGACTTCCTATATCATAAGTGGCTTCTAGTTAGCTGAAAGACTTCTGTTCCTTCCATATTCAACGGGAACATTTTAGTTCTGTGTTACCAGCTATTGAAATTTCATTTTACATCTGTGACATTCAAAACTTTTGTTAAAATTCCAGACCCTGGAGTTACTTAAAAAGAAGAAAACACCACTTTGTATCCCCTTCCTCCCCTTGTTCTGGCCCTCTGCATCCTCCTGTGAAGTGTTTCTGAATGTATTCTTCCCTTGTTAGTTCAAATGTGTGCTTTCTGAATACGAGAACAATACCTATAACACACTTTGGAGCCCAGTCCTCTTCTTTGCAGATTGTTAATTGAAGATCTTGCTGCTGGTAAAATATTAAATTGCATTTCAGCGCCCTCTACTGGCTAGGTGATCCTATTCGGCTCTGATGTAGAGAAAAAAGTACCCACTAAAAAGCCACCATGTTGTTACAGCACTGAAACTAACTCGGAACAAGGTGGAGATACACAGGTATCTGTTCTTTTGAGTCATTTACTGCACTGCTGTCTTCACTGATACTGAATGCTTAGGAAGTTGTAACTTCATTCTATTTATTTTCTTTTGCAGTTTCGACGATGCCTTTTGCAACTCCTGTGCTTTCGTCTGATGAGATTCCAGAGGAACATGAAAGAGACACCAGCAACAGGGACTGACAAACCAATACGACCAATAGTCATGTCTCAGAAAGCAGGGGACAGGCCAAAGAAGAAAGTGACTTTCAGCTCTTCCTCTGTCATTTTTATTATCACCAGTGATGACACTCAGCAAATAGATGACAATAGTAAACACAATGAGACAGAAGTAAATGTCATCCACGTAAAACCACTATAGGGATGAGCTAAAGAGACATGAGAATGAGATGGACTTCAGCCAGTAGACTGTTTAGGTTGGAGACCGGTTTCAGCGGCAGTGTCTGTGGGCTGCTAAAAGAAACCACATTCTTAAGCTGTGAAATACTGAAGCGATTCTGCATCTGAAGCTCTGCAGGCAGTTCACTTTTGGTCACAGTACTGAAATCCCTGCATCTGTGCCAAAATTGCTGATGGATGTCTTTAGTCTGAATTTTCTTAAAGCATATTGTAGGATTGTCATTCAGGAGAACTTGGTCAGGCTGGAAGAATGCACTGACAGAAATGTTACAAAGTTCAGCAAGGCAAAGTGCAAAGTCCTGTGCTTGGGAAGGAAGAATGATGCCGCAGCACAGCAGGCCGGGCCCTGGCTGCCTGGGATGCAGCTCTGTGGAAAAGGATGTGGAGTCCTGTCAGTCAGTGAGCTGGGCATGAGCCTGCAGTGTGCCGTGGCAGCAAGGGAGGGTACCAGCATCCCAGGCTGTACTGACAGGATTGGAGCCAGTGGTCTGAAGTGATTATGCCCTTGACTCAACCCTCATTAGACCACATCTAGATACTGCATCCAGTTTTGGGACCCCGGTACAAGAAAGACATCTGTAAACTGGAGTGAGTTCAGTGGGTCCCCCGAGATTGTCAGAGGTTGTAGTACTTGGCCTATGAAGAGAGGGTGGGAGAGCTGCACTTGACCAGCCTGGAGAATGAAACATCTTCAAGGGAACCTAATAGCAGCCTTCCAATAGAGATGGGGAGGTTTTCAACAAGTTGGAGACAGGCTTTTCAGGGCGATTCATAGTGGAAGCATCACAGACAATGAGCATGAACTGAATGAAGAGAGATTTGGGTGGGATGTAAGGAAAAGCTTTTTCACCCTGAGGACAGCCAAGCAGCGTAACAAGTCAGACTAGAGACTTCCTGAGGTTCACTCCTGCTTCAGTTACACTGTGATCCCTGAGCTGCCAGGATTCCCAGTGCACAGAGTTATCAAGAAAGAAGGAGGAACGTTTGAAGTTGGCTGCTGTTTAGTTGGTCTGAATTGGTGCTCTGCAGGGTTGGGGGTGGGAAAAATGATGTTGTCGATGACTGGGGTTATGGTTAAACCAGAAGCCTGCAGAAAGCTGTCCTTGTGTACTCAGCAAGCCATTCTCTCAGTGGTACCTGGTAGGACCCCTGACCTACGTAGTGAAGAAAATCACACAAATCAAAGCACCAATGAAAAAAAAGGTCAGTGAGAAGGGAGAATCAGAATTTATTTTTTTTTTGTTACGATAAATGCTTTATGCATCTTTATCTTGCATACGTTTATTCTGTATGTGGACCAAGAGTTCCTTCTATATTAATCCTGAACCTGCTTTGGCACTCTGGTGAAAGTAACGGTTAGAGAAGAGCAGAATAACTTTTGCCTGAGTTGCAGTGTGAGTAATGATTGTCTTACCTGGAGCTCAGTAAACAGAACAGAGATTCCGCGCCCCCCCCCCGCTCCGCCCCCCCCCCCCCCGCTCCGCCCCTACCTTTGTATGTGTTGGTGGTACAAAATGGCGACAGGATTCTGTCCCAGGCATGGCTTCCTGTCAGCATTGGGTGAGTAAGTTATTACAGAACTAATTTTGAATTATGATGGCTGGTTTTCTACCACATCCATTGCACCAGTGTAATTTCTCAGCCTCAGTTTGCTAAATGGGCAGTGTGGATCTGCAACATGCAGCTCTTCCAGCTCTGTGAAAGCTTTAAGAAAAGCAATTAAGAAACTACTTGCTTCCTCTAGGGAACAGATCTTCTGAGAGGTATAAAGGGAACGTGCTGAATAACTGTTGGCACTGGAGCCATTGGTCCTGCAATCAAGAATAAAACTTGAAAAATAAATAGAAAAAAATCAGAGTCTAAATGTAGAAGCTTTCAGCTAGTTCCTCGGAATAGGGAGTGACCTCAAGTCGCAACAAGTGACTGATTGTGCTTGTGCCAGTGCTTTTGAAGAGGCAAATTCCTTATATGTGCACCCCTCTAGAGCTTTAGCACTGTTAGACTGGCTCTGTGTCATGTTTAAAAGTGCACCTGGAGTGCATTCTAGTTTCTAGACTAAATCATACAATCTGAGAGAAAACAGATGATAAATACTTGTCTTTGTTTCTTTCATATTTGTTATTTTTATTTTGCTCCAAATGCATAAATAAGTTGTATTACCATGTCAAAGATCTGCCCTCACTAAAACATGTTCGTTGCAATGTCAAGAACTACATTTTCAGCCAGTGATCACTACATCTATGCACGTTTATATTTATGGAGGGAGAAAGATATACATTACCATTCCATGTAATGATTCTATTCTTTTAACAAAATGGCATTTTAGTGTTTTCTGTATATTGAGCCTTCAATGAGTAATTAAATGTACTTTATTTATATCTATATGTTCTTGGTGAAACATTTTTTTTCCCACTGAGAAGGGAGATGGTTTGGGTATCATCACTTGTTGGATACATCTTAAAGGGTAGCATTAGGCCCTGAGAAAACAATAGCATTTCAGGATTCCAGCTGACCTTTGTAAAGAAAAAGTATAGGGTCTGGAAAGAGAAACTATCCACTGTTCAGATTTATGAAGGTAAAACTTGAGTAATTAACAATAACAGTATATGATTATTTTAATAATTTGTGCAACATATTTACCACTGCAATACATAGCACACTAACAATTATGTAACAATATATAAAAAACTAAGCACTAAAAATTGGTGTAAATTTGTTATCTTGGCTACTTCGTGTAAATTGGTTGCCTAAAATGATAAATTTTGTGAACTGTTTGACGTAATTTGTTCTTACAGCCTGTAAAGTGTCGCTCGCTTCTTTGTAGGTGTGGCTATGTGAAGTTAGCATGCTGCAGTCCTGTTTGCTCATCTTTTAAGCTTAACTATTTTCTGTGGGTAACTGCAGCACTGATGCAAAATTCATACCCTGCTACAGAATTTAAGTATTGTAACAGTCAGTCTTTGAGTATCCCCAGGTTATTTACAGATTTGTTATATTTTTTTTTTTAAAGTGTTAAGTCTGTCTTTGGTCTCTTCTGGAGATGTCACAACTGGCTAGTTTATTACAGTGGAGATGCAGAGACTTAATGCAGGACCTTAGGCTAAGTGCTGGGTCCTGCACTTGGGTCATAACAACCCCATCCAATGCTACAGGCTTGGGGAAAGGTGGCTGGAAGGCTACTCGACGGAGAAAGACCTGGGGGTGTTGGTTGACAACCAGCTGAACATGAGCCAGCAGTGTGCCCAGGTGGCCAAGAAGGTCAAAGCATCCTGGTCTGTATCAGCAATAGTGCGGCCAGCAGGACTAGGGCAGTGATCGTCCCCCTGTACTCGGCACTGGTGAGGCCGCACCTCGAGTGCTGTGTTCAGTTCTGGGCCCCTCACTACAAGAAAGCCCTTGAGGAGCTGGAGCGAGTCCAGAGAAGGGCAACAAAGGTGGTGAAGGGCCTGGAGTTCAAGTCTGATGGGGAGCGGCTGAGGGAGCTGGGGGGGTTTAGTCTGGAGAAGAGGAGGCTGAGGGGAGACCTGATCGCTCTCTACAGTGACCTGAAAGGAGGGTGTAGTCAGGTGGGGGTCAGTCCCTTCTCCCAAGTAGCAAGTGATAGGACAAGAGGAAGTGGCCTCAAGTTGTGCCAGGGGAGGTTTAGATTGGATATTAGGAAGACTTTCTTCCCAGAAAGGGTCGTTGGGCATTGGAATGGGGTGCCCAGGGAGGTGGTGGAGTCACCATCCCTGGAGGGGGTTTAAAAGACATGTATATGTGGTGCTTAGGGACATGGTTTAGTGGTGGTCTTGATTGTGTTAGGTTTATGTTTGGGCTCGATCTTAAAGGTCCTTTCCAACCTAAATGATTCTATGATTCTAAGACCTTTCTGTCCCATTACAGGGGATGGAAGAGGAATCATAGAATCATTATGGTTGGAAGAGACCTCAAAGATCATCACGTCCAACCGTAAGATGGTCAGCATTAACATTTTGACCATTAGCTGTTCCTAAAGTAACAGAATTGCAGACTGAGAAAGAGGAAAAGGAGAAAGTGTGAAGGGCAAAAGGGTATGAAGAGATGAGCAGGGTACACTTGTTTATGAAGATTTTTAAATAAACTAGTTACTAAGAACTTTCATGATCCTGTCATGCAAACGGAAGTGGCAGGTGGGGCGAGTACCATGATGGCTTCAGAGCCAATTAATTTCTCTTAATGATGTTTCATCGATTTCATGCATTACTGGAAAAATACATAAAACGATTTAGTTAGAATGCCATTTGTAACCTGCAAATGCAGGAGCCTCAGTTCAATTGCCTCCCAGCAGCTGGTGCGTCAGGACTCTGTTGGGAGGCATTTCAGCTTCATGCTGGGGAAAGGGTCCCCTCTCACCCTGTGTTTTAAGGCAGTCACAAATCTGAAGCAGTGGCCACCAACCTGCCAGTGCAGGGGCTTCTGCTGCTGCCCTGGATCCCATGGAGGCAAGAATCTGTGGGATGTGTGCTGTAGATCTGCTCCACAGCTTTGTGACTTTCCTCCTTTTTCACCTCCCAGAAGATAGATTTATGCTGAATGTATCTGACTTCATGCAGAGGAGTTGAGTCTCACGCTACTAAGACACTATCTTTTATCACAATGATTATATCAGTCAGGAGATCAATATTCACAAGCATTATCCTTTGTGCTCCTCTCCTTTGCTTAGCAGCAGTATCCTGCTGCCATTTCCTGTAACAGCTAAGTGAAACTGATATTCAAGCACTATATTGTCCTAAACCATCCAGAAAGAACAATCTGGTAGAGTACATTTAGCCTTGGCTTATATAAATAACTTTCATCTCAAGAATGGAATTTGACTGTATAATACTCAGAGGTAAGAGATGAGAAAAATCGGACTATGATGGTGGATGATTTCACAAACATTATGAATGCCTTTATTTCCTTACCAGATTAGTATTGAAGAATTACTTGTAACACATTAAA